ATAGACTTTTATATCAAGTGATAAGATTCTTAAATGGGCCCATTAAGGTCTAACTGTTATCATTTCTATGAAGATTTCAAATTGCTTAAGTGTCCATATAATTTAAAATTTTTAATTACAAAAATAAGAGACAAATACAAATTACTATATGACTTTAAGGGTAGTCTTTTAAAATATAGCTCAGAAACCAGACAAATAGGTGTAGTCTTAGAAATGCTGATATCGTGGATGTTTTTGCAATACTCTAAAATAGCAGAAATGCATTGCAGTTGTGGTTTTGGGGAGGCTGAAACATTGTCCATTGAGTTCAATGGAAATATTAGTTTGTTGGCTAATTACAAAGTATTTTAAAGTTAGAGGTGAAACTTTTTACATATTTTTGATTTTCTCATAGGAAAGCAAACTACAGAAGCATCTGAGAAGTGTTGCAAGAAACAGGGAGGTAACAATTAGGACTTGGAGCCTGGCATGAGTTACAGAGAGGCTACTGTGCAGTTTTAATAGAATTATTTAGTTGAAAGTGTCAATTTTTTTTAAAGATTTTATTTCTTTATTTGACAGAGAGAGATCACAAGTAGGCAGAGAGGCAGGCAAAGAGAGAGGGGGGAAACAGGCTCCCTGTTGAGCAGAGAGCCTGATGGGGGGCTCAATCCCAGGACCCTGAGATCATGACCTGAGCCGAAGGCAGAGGCTTAATTCACTGAGCCACCCAGACACCCCAAAAGTGTAAATGTTTGAAATATGTTGGTCATACCATTTGTCTATTATCACTTTGCTGTATTGCTGCATTATAAGTTATTTCATCTTCTATTAATATTTTCTTTCATTTAAAATCTCAATTCAGTGGTGCCTAGGTAGCTTAGTGGGTTAGGTATATGACTCTTGATTTCAGCTCAGGTCATGATCCCAGGGTCATGAGATCGAGCCCCACCTCAGGCTCCATGCTCAGTCCAGAGTCTGCTTGTCGCTTTCTCTTTGCTCCTCCCCCTGCTTATGGGTGTGCATGTTCTCACGCGCTCTCTCTCTCAAATAAATAAATAAATAAAATCTAAAAAAAAATTAAAACCTCAGTTCAGTAGTTTGAAAGTGAGAATCTGGACTCAGTCCCATCCAAATTTATATTCACATCTGTCATTATCAGGATGCATGATCTAGGGAAATATAGTTAACCTTATATAGTTAACCCTGAGTTAAGCCTCAGTTCCTCCTCTATGAAGCTGGAGTGATAATAATGATACTCATCTCATAGAAAGGCTGTAAAGATTAAATGATATGAGCAATACAGAACTTCAGGCAATACGTGAAAGCTTTTGTTACATTCCCCAGTATTGAGAAGGAAGAAAATGGAGAAGCAGCTAAGTGGGAAATTATTTGGCAGTTACTATATCACTAAAATTTTCCTTATAACTCATTTAATCCTTTCTGTAGTCTCACGAAATGGGTCTTGTGCCATTCTACAAATGAGGAAACTGAGATGTCCACCATAAAGATACTCGGTGTTGCCCTCTGAGTCACTTCAGGCAAGGAACCTGACATGGGGCCCCTCCCTTATGACATGGAGGTCATCATTCATATTTTAACTTCCCGATATTTTAGGAGGCTCCAGTGAGCTGTACCACTGAAAAGAGCGTGGTGTCCTGGAGTCCCCTTCTGGAACAGAAATACCTCTGTACTGACTCCTGCTAGGAGTGATAATGCTGCTGTATCTTCTTGCCAGTCCTCCAGAAAGAAAGATGGTCTGTATTCAACCCCGTAAGGTGCCCAAGAAATAATGCAAGAGTCAAAATAGCCTTCTCTGGGTGCTCTGGGATCTCTGTGGCCTATTGCAAGGCCTGGGTCTCCACAATTCTGAGCAGAGTGGCTTTGCAAGCATAAACCCAGGCTGGGCAGAGGCCAGCAGTAATGAATGACACTCAGCTTAGACTTGGGGAAAAGACTCAAGAAATGTCCAGAGGCTTTGTTTGTCCTTGAAGCAACAACTTAGCAGAGTTTTGCAGGATGTGAAAGAATTTTCTGTAGACTGTGGTAGATGGTCTGTGTCCCACAAGGAAGGAAAAGAGGTAGTCAGGTTAAACATTTTTAACTTATGGTAAAGCACTTTCTGGAACTTGGTAAGATACCAGAATATGCTATATTGGGGTGAAGACAGAGAGTGAATGGAGAACTCCTTCATGAAATTGATGAATGAAGCAAATTTCTTTGACAGAGGGACAGGAATAGGTTTTCAGGGTACCCCAGAGCTTAAGCTGAAGGAGGAAAATTTACAGAAAACAGAAGCTTAGGACTGAATATGACAAATCGTTTTGTTGTTGTTGTTGTTTTTTAAAGGTTTTACTTATTTATTTGAGAGAGAGAGAATGAGGGAAAGGGATCATGAGAGGGGAGAGGTCAGCGGGAGAAGCAGACTCCCTGCTGAGCAGGAAGCCCGATGCCGGGCTCGATCCTGGGACTCCAGGATCATGACCTGAGCCGAAGGCAGTTGCTCAACCAACGGAGGCACCCAGGCGCCCTGAATATGATGAATCTTGAGATATTTTCTCCTGTTACTAGCATCTCCTATAAATTCTGGTATGCAGTAGATGCTCAGCAAATGCACCAAAAGATGCAGTTTGACCCACTCAGTTTTTTCTCTGTATAACTGAATCTTGTTAAGATCTGCCTATACCTAGGGCTTTTGTTTTGTTTTGTTTTTTGTTTTACCTTTCTCTTTGCGCATAAAATTCAGCTCAGCACTTCTGCAATTCCTGAGCTGTTATTTCAGGCACGTGCTCACAAAGCACTTCACACGAGCTGAACTTCACTGTTTGCAAACTTTGCACCTGGTCATTGCTTAGGGAAGCATTTTTATAAAGTTTTCAGTGTAATTAAAAGTGACGTTATGCTATTTGGGTTCTGTTTGTTTTGTTTTGTTTTGTTTTTTTCTCTCTCTACATTGTGGCCCTGCATTCTGCTTTTACTGACACCACGTTATTGGGCAGGAAATTGAGAAATGTGTTTATGTACTGCAATGCCCTCTCCCAAACACAACCCCCCATTTCCCTTTAAGAGTAACCACCACCGGGGCGCCTGGGTGGCTCAGAGGGTTAAAGCCTCTGCCTTCGGCTCAGGTCATGACCCCAGGGTCCTGAGATCGAGCCCCGCATCGGGCTCTCTGCTCAGCAGGGAGCCTGATTTCTCCTCTCTCTCTGCCTGCCTCTCTGCCTACTTGTGATCTCTGTCAAATAAATAAATAAAATCTAAAAAAAAAAAAAAAAGAGTAACCACCACCGTTCTGGTTTTCATAGTCATGTTCTTGCTTTTTAAAAAATTGTTTTATCACACAAGAGTACCTCCCTAATATTATAGTTTAGGTTTTGTTTTTTTTTTTAAGATTTTATTTATTTGACAGAGAGAGAGAGATCACAAGTAGTCAGAGAGGCAGGGAGAGAGAGAGGGGGAAGCAGGCTCCCTGCTGAGCAGAGAGCCCGATGCAGGGCTCCATCCCAGGACTCTGAGATCATGACCTGAGGCGAAGGCAGAGGATTTAACCCACGGAGCCACCCAGGTGCCCCTATTATAGTTTAGTTTTACTTTGTTGTTGTTGTTGTTTTAAAGGCGTGTTTCTAAGGTATCTTTTCATTTTTAGGTTTCTTTCTTTCCCTTTTCTAATTTATCTGTTGAAAACACCAGATTGTCTTGTCGAGTTTTCTCACACTCTATATTTGGTCGATCACTTTCATGGGGTGCTGTTTAACATGTTTTTCCATCCTCCATATTTCCTGGAAACTGGTAGTTGAATCTAGAGACTTAGGACCCCGTCCCCCTTTACTCCTCGCCCCCCACCCTGGACAAAATGACTGCCTAGGTAGTGGGTGTCCTCCTTGGGAGACACACAGTTCCGTGTCTGAGAGGGTTGCTGCAGCTGATGGAAAATGCCGAGATCCATGATTCACCAGGAGTTACAGCATCATTCTGTCAGATTTCTAGAGTTTCTTCATTTACTGGCTGGAACTGTATAAAAAGAAAGTTTTCCTCCTCTATGATCTGGTTGCCTTTAGTGGCACATTTAGTATAGGAAGAGCAGTGTACCTTTTTGTTATTTTCCCTTTATTTACTATTGCTCAAAAAAAAAAAAGTTGTCTCTAATGTATCCACCATAAGTGGGATATAGATATCTACATATATTTATATATAGATAGTGATCTCATGGTTTGGTTTTTTTTTAAGATTTTATTTATTTATTTGACAGAGATCACAAGTAGGCAGAGAGGCAGGCAGAGAGAGAGAGAGGAAGAGGAAGCAGGCTCCCCGCTGAGCAGAGAGCCCAATGTGGGGCTCGATCCCAGGACCCTGAGATCATGAACCAACTCGAAGGCAGAGGCTTACCCCACTGAGCCACCCAGGTGCCCCTGACCTCACGGTTTTGTACCGGAATTGCAAATTCAGTGAAAATGCAGAAGTACAGGTTGAGTATTTGAATTCTGCCATTCATCTGTATGTTTGTCCAGTCCCCACAAGAGTTTAAGGACTAAGAAGACTAGGAATGACAGAATTAGTGTAACACACAAACCCATATTTTACACAGAACATTCTTGTAATAACTACGAATAGCACGGTTCCTTAAAGGAGCCAAAGCAGTTACTCCATTCTTTCTCTCCCTTAGGTTTTGTTTTTACAGTTGGGGTGTTTCTCTGGTTAGAGGGTAGGGCCCTCCTTTATACCGTGCTCTTCCCCCATAACCTCATCAGCTGGAAATTTTGAGGAGATTAAGATTATAGCCTTAGGCTTTTGCTATTCTGGTAATGTAACAAACACTTTCTTCCTCTGTGACTATGAAAGAGAATAATAAAGGGAACCAAATCTGTGTCAACAGAAGAATAATTCTTCAAAGGAATATTACATTCAGAAACTGGTGATAGAGCATTATTATAGATGACTTAAAACTGCTTTGTCTATATTGGATGTCCCCTAAATGTAACTTTTACAACATCTTTTGTCTTGTTTTCTTTTGTGGCTAACAGAACATTCCAGTGTGCCAGTGGAAAAAAATATCACCTTAGAACGACCTTCTGCTATAGAACTCACATGTCAATTCACAACTTCTGGGGATGTGAATTCAATAAATGTGACTTGGAAAAAAGGGGATGAACAACTTAAGAATTACCATGTCAATGCCACAGGAGGCATCCTGTATACCCAGTACAAGTGAGTACATAACATTTTAACCTGCGTGGCTCAAGGAAATTCATCAACTTCTAAACATTTTTGATGACTGGGCAGTCTTGCCTTTGCTGTCTCCTGAAGGTTATGCTAATGTTCTAATTTGCATATTTACGTCATTGTTTCTATTTTAGAATTTTGATTAAATGCTGAGTCTTTTTCATTTTTATCAAGAAGTGTTTTGAGAACTAAGCCTATATTAATAAATTCTCTTTAGGTTTCCCATCATTAATAGCGAACAACTGGGAAGCTATTCTTGTTTCTTTGAAGAGGAAAAGGAACGAAGGGGCACATTTAATTTCGGAGGTTAGTACTAATAATTTATAGAGTAATAACTTCAGCATTATATTTTTAGAATTCTAAACCCCCCAATTTTTGAATTACCATTACAATACTAAACACAATGGGCTGAGAGAGAATCATATATTTTCCACTGAATCTTAAGTGGTGACCTTAAAAATGGAGTGTCCCAGTCTCTCTAAGTGGTAGCATTTGCATTTCCCAATCCATTCCCACTCCTGTCCCTCCCCTAGCTCACTAAAGTGAGACGTTAGTGTGAAAGATGGGGCTGCCAGGTTACTTGTACCAATCTCTCGAATTTCTTCGCTTATTCATTTGTTTAGCCCACTAAACTGAGAGCTTTTATATACTGTCTCTTTAGGTGTCTGAGTTACTGTACCCCTAGACTGTGCTTTGGTGTTCTGTACCAGTGGGTCTGGGACTTGGGGGTTTTAGGGAGCCCTAAAATTTAAAAATAATACGGAGATGCACAAAGGGTGCCTGTTTTTGGTCTCTTCCAATAAGGACAAAACCCAGAATACAATCCTCCCTGTGGAATGAGAAAAAGTAAAATCAGAATATTTTACTCTTCTCTCATTAGACCAGAACTGTAAAGGTCTCAGTCTCATAATAAAGACTAGTCGCTGAGTCGGGCACTTATCTTCATGAAAAACCCCTTTTCTGTGATAGATTAGTGAACCACAGTGTCCAGACTGGTATCTGGGATATGTGGTCTATTGCCACATTAACTATTCTGGGCTTTGCTTCACATTATGTGTATTTCCCAAGGTACATGAGAAATTGTGCTCTACTTCTTCTGAAAATTGTGAGGTCTGGCTAGCTGCCCTGACAAAATATGGATATTGTCTCCAAGGCCCTATCAATAGCAGAGCAGCCTACTTCCACATGATCATGATTTCAGGTGGTTTGCTCCCTCATGGCGCCCTGCCTTCCCTACGTTCTCACAGACTCATTTCCTTCACTTGGTTTTGTAAATGTTCCTCCTTGGCAAATGTAATAAATCCTTGTGTTTTTGCAATTTGGTCTCTGCAAAGGCAGAAACTATTCCCATCCTTTGATTATTTTGATCATGTACATCCTCTCTTAACCTCCTTTCCTCTGCGTAATTTAATTTTGTGGAGGAGAGAGGCACCATACATTTCCTTCCCTTATTCCCTTCCTTCCCTGGTCTTTTTCTTTCTTTCCTTCCCTCCCACTCCTCCCCCTCTTCCCTTCTTTCTTTCCTTCTTGATGAGCTAAAAAGATATTAAACACCTGCACAAACACATAATCCTCTATTAGGCATTTTATTGAGTCTCCTTTAAATATGTAAAGAAGGTCTGTAGGTTTTGAGGGAATCTTCGTCAAATCTTGAGGCTTAAAGTGATTCCAGAGATTCAGTTCTTAAAAATTGTCTTTTTCAGGGGTGCCTTGTTGGCTCAGTTGGTTAAACATCTACCTTTGGCTCAAGTCGTGATCCCAGGGTCCTGGGATGGAGCCCCGAGTCCAGCTCTCTGCTCAGCAGGGAGCCTGTTTCTCCCTCTCCCTCTGCCTGCCGCTCTGCCTGCTTGTGCTCTAGCTCTGTCTGTGTCAAATAAATAAAATCTCGAGAAAAAAAGAAAAATTACTTTTTCCCACCATCTAAATAGGACTGTTTTCTAGAAATACGTACTAATTACACCTGTTCACAGTTTAAATGTTGAATATACTATGTTTTTTCCTATTTGCTCTCTTATAATAAATTACTTCAGTTATTATTTGGCACTGATCGGTCCTGCTTCTAATGTGAAGATTAACAGAAACATTTTACTTTTCAATATGCCAATACATTTAATGCCATGTGGACTTGGAGAAAGCCTCTTGATTCCATATCTATTTTGAGATGACTGGGCTCAACTGGCTGGTGTCAGGAGCACCAACACAAGGCTTGGGTTTGAAATCAAACGCTTGAGGAATGCAAATAGCCACTGAATATTTACTGTTTTTCTTTTTCCTTTTTATAGTTTTTTTAAAGTACTTTTTAGTTCAGTTTATTAGTTTTTTTGTTTTGTTTTGTTTTGTTTTGTTTTTGACAGAGATCACAAGTAGGCAGAGGCAGGCAGAGAGAGAGAGAGGGAGAAGCAGGCACCCACTGAGCAGAGAGCCCGATGCGGGGCTCGATCCCAGGACCCTGAGATCATGACCTGAGCCGAAGGCAGAGGCTTTAACCCACTGAGCCACCCAGGCACCCCTGTTTATTAGTTTTTAATCCCCACTTAACATTTATAAACTTTTAAATATGCATTATGTCTCGAAGACATTTATAAAATTAATAAGTTGGGCCTTTCTAGATCTTTTGTAAAATCATAACTTCCTGTAACTCATCTAAATTGAATGAATATTGCTTGGAGAAATAATTTCATTTGATTACAACTTAAAGGCATCTGCAGAAGAGTTCATATTATAGTTATTATTTACTTAGATCTGTAAGGCTTATAAAATGGCATCTATTTTTATAAATATCCTATTATATCTCCACATGACTTGCTTACGGGTTTTCCTAAGAAGAAGGCTTAGTTTTCCTTAGTAATCCTACAACTAAGTGTGGTTGAAAGCCTTTTTATCCTCTATTTTAAGTTCAGCCAGGAAAAACCCATTTTGCTATTGACTATGTGAGTCAACTAGTGCATGAGCATGAGTCCTTGGAATAATTCATCGGCAGAGCCCCTGCTTGTGCCTTTTTGGGAGCTGGTTGATTTATTACTAGAGATTATAAAAGGGCCTCAGTATCACTGATTAGTACAATGCAAAAAACCTGCTGACTTTGTGGGTTTGGCTGTTGATGCTGGGCCCCAAAGAGAGAACGAAAGTCACACTGGAAGCTGGCAGGTACTAACATGTTGGTGATTACTTTTCATTCAAGAAAGATGAGTGGTGGGCCCCATGTTTCTTGGTAGCTGGTCAGCTCTTCTGACATAGTTGCTGAAAACTTCTATAACATTCATCAGTGTTAAAATCTCCTAGTAGAAAGATGCAGAAATTTAGTTGGTGAAGGATGAGATTTTGATGGCACCAAGTGCTATGAAACCTTTCTTGGCCTGGCCGTCTGTCTCCGTATCCAAGGAGATGTAGTATTATACTACATCTAGTATATAGTACTATTCTACATAGCACTATGTAGAATCGGTTGGAGCTTTAAACCCCAGTGTTGATGTCTAGTTAGCGGTCTTTGACTACATGGAAGAGTCTTTTCCTAATTCGGTGATTCCTAAATGTCCTTGAGCCAAAAATGACCTAGGCTGATTTTTTCCTAGTTCGTGATTTAAATCTCTAAGTTTATAACTCCATAGGGCTTTTACTATCACCAGGCAGATCCTGAGCCCCATCCAGACAATAGTTTGAATCAGCAATTCAGCATCTTCAAACTTGGATTCTACCAATCCCAAGACTCTCGCTGGTCCTGCCTTATCCAAAGTTTCAAAAGGTTAACAGCACACATTAAAATACTGTATCGTTATCCTTCTTTGCATAAATATTTCCAAACATTAAGTAGCAGCCCAGAACCAACTGTGACCTCTGGAAAAGTTCCAACAAAGTAGAGTTTCCTGACCTTGGTGCATTTTATAGTTTAGATCCACACTGCTGTTATCAGCCATATAAAGTGTAGCAGAGCAGTAGTTAATGTCCACCTTTTCACATGGAACTCAGGAAGTGTGGTTCTGCTTCAGCTGAGGTTTGGAAGGAACCTTGTGGCTTCAGAAAAGAATCCTTATTTTGGCCAAGCTTGAATCTCTGCTTAATCTGCACGTTTTCAGTGGAGGCCTCCCCTAAGGTAGGGTTGACCTTCCCAGGAACTTCTGTGTTCTCAGACTTCATTTAACAATAAAGCCACACCAGGTATCGGGCATATTGGAATGAAGTATGACTACAGTGTGATCTTGAACTGATAGACTCATAGTGTTTTGTCAGGAGGCCCTCGAATAACTTCCTTCTCACTATGTCCAGTCATTCCTTTTCCCAACAAAATCTCAAGTAAAGAAACACACACCCAAAAAAGGACACTAAGGCAAAGTCACATTTTATTATTGGCCAGCCTTGGCCACAGATGTTGCTGAAATTCTTGGAAGGCTTTGCCATACAGAAGGCTTCTTTCTCCTCAGTGAGGTTGTACTAACCTTAAGCCAAAGCAGAGCCATGGGTTCCTTCACAGCCCAAGGTCAGTTAGGTCTTTACTCCTCTAAACGGGAGATAACACCCTCCTGAGCCGGGAAAAATATGCTGAGCATGAGGCTGAGTTATTTATACCTCCAGATTTCTATCCCTAGAAAACAGGGCCCAATCAGCGCCCGGGACCATGACTAATCCAGGATAATCCTCCTCTCTAAGACTGGAAAACTGAAAGGAGGGAATTTCTGGTGAGGTCACTGGGGGACTTCATTCCACAGGCTGCTGCTCAGCCTTTTTTTCCCACCACCTCCAGTGTCTAGTGAGGAAACAGGATCTACCATAAGAAAAAAACAGAATGGGGAGCCCCTGGGGGGCTTAGTCAGTTAAGTGTTTGCCTTCAGCTCAGGTCATGATCTTGGGGTCCTTGAATTGAGTCCCGCATCTAGCTCCTTGCTCAGCGGGGAGCCTCTTTCTCCCTCTCCCTCTGCCTACCACGCCCCTTGCTTGAGCTCTCTCTCTCTCTCTCTGTGTCAAATAAATATATATAAAAAATATAATTTATAATGATAAATAATACATAATATAATATATAAATATACAATAATAATATAATAATGTAAATAAATGAAAAACAAAATTTTCAAAAAAAAAAGAAAAGGAAACAGAATGAAATGTACTATGGTTCAGCATAATTTAGGCCTACAACGTTCTGATGCTGAAATTTATTTTCTTGTTCCTCAAGAACTTAAAATGTAGTTACGTTAATATCGGGACAGATGGTCATCCTATTCTCTTGGATCCTAGAGTTGCTTCCAGTTTTCTTATATTGGTTATTTCCCTGCAGTAGCTTGCTCTCTGGGTTCCCAGATGAACCCAGAGGCCGGTAGTTACAGGCTGAAGAAACCAAACAAAAGTAGTTTGAGTTAATAGGGAGAACACTTAACACGAGAGACATCATCTTTATTGTTATTTTAAAAATGCATGTGGATAGCAATTATTTTCTTATTTAAAAATTTCACTCATAGATTATGTCAAAGTACCAGTTGCTTTATTCTGCTTTTTCTTGTTAAAACCAGTATGTGGTGAGCGGGCCCTTTTTATTCTTAGATTTTTATGTAATATGTAAAGTTATCATTCCACGTGTCTTTTCTGCTATATACGACATAGGTCTGGAAGCAAGATTTTCCTTTTAACTTTTTAACCAATTTAATTTCTTGTTATGGTAAGGAGCAATAATGAGGTGCCCTGATTTAAATTGTTTTTAATTTATGCTGAAATTGTAATCCTTACACAAAAATCTTACTCAGCTGCTTTCACCAAGTACATGAAGTTGTGTTTCAAGCAGTAGAATTTGTTTCACAGCCTCACAAAGTTCTTTAATAGATGTTATTAAAGGATCTCAAAGCTCCTCTGTTTTTTCATTCTTTGGGGCCTTGTCTCCTGTAAATTCATCCCCTTGAATTTTTTCGTCATTTTACTCTTTTAGTCTCCTTTCTCACATGGGCTGGGTGGTCTATAAAGGATTCAGTTTGGAGCCTTTCCCATGTTTTGGGGGTTTTTATGTGTTTCTACAGTTCTGAGATGTATTCAGATGAATTTCCAGTTCTCTTTTTTTTATTCTAGGTCTTATTTCCTCTCTGTTCCACATGACCAGCTGACCTAGAAATCATTCTCGCACATGATAATGATCTATCCTAGTAAGCTGGCTCATGACCACTAGGTAATAAGGCTGTGGGCATTACAAATTGCAAGGAAGGTCAGTTAAGAAAAGCTGTACCAGTTCATGATCAAAACTTTGTGGTGTTTACTTTGCACCAAACACTTTATTTATTATGATCTCATACTTAATCCTTTACAACAACATGGTAGGATGGGTTATGACCTATTGAAGTCCTCAACGTTAGTAACACTGAAACTGTGATTTGAGTGTATGTACTTCCTGGACCCAAATCAATTCTTGGTCACATCATGGCCACATTGTGCTGACTTCCTTCAAACACTTAATAACGACCTGACATTTGAAATGGACACATATTAGCCACATATTAACTAAATAGCCCTCAGCCTGTTGGTGACTGATCAGAATGTGGGACACTGGTGGCTTCAGTCAAAAGAAATGCTCAGAATATCTTCTGGCTGAGATGTCTTAGATAAAGACAGTCACATGTATTCATTCTCTCCTCTCTCAGGAGTGCCCTAGTGATACCTGACTAGGTTTATGAAGTATTAGTTGGTGATTATAAATTTTGATTGGCAGTTCACAGCTTTAGTTGATTTAAAATTGTAGACCATTCGGTTTCATGAAAACATGTTTCCTTGGTTATGTAAAGGGTGAGAATTGATTTATAGATTGCTCTGTTATCTTTCGTATGAATTACTTGAATCACTAATGCTGACATGGGTGACATACCTTCCTCTTATTTAAATCTCTTTTTATTAGCATTGCCTCATTCAACACTCAGCTGGTCAGCAGCCTTGATGAAGGAGAGGGTGATATATGCAGTTGTATTTAGGCACATTTTATTTATTTATTTTTAAAAGATTTTATTTATTTATTTGAGAGAGAGAGAGCGTGCGTACACAAGTAGGGGGTGTGGAGGGGCAGAGGGAGAGGGTGAAGCAGACTCCCTGCTGAGCAGGGAGCCCAATCCTGGAGATCATGACCTGAGCTGAAGACAGATGCTTAATAGACTATGGCTCCCCTTTAGGCACATTTTAAACAATAAGGATAAAAGGAGACTTCCCACACCGATCATTGTAACCTTAATCACCTGAGGACAGAACTCATAAAGAAATCCTATTCTCCAACCCTATGTTACCACTTCTATGGTAGTTACACAAGTCAGGATTTCTTTTCTCGTTATTACCAACTATTTCCCCTTTCCTCATCTTTATGATTTATACAGCAAACGCCAATTATCTTTGGGTAGTACAAAGCCAAGATCACTTAGAAAATGTATTCAATCTAGAAACCTAACTTTAGTACTTCAAACCAATCTTTATATTTCTACCCTGGCCAATCCCAAAACAAAATATAAATATAGGATAACAAGGGAATATCAAGCAATATTTATAAAATTTGTCAATATAGCATTAAAAATTTATACATGACTTTATACTTTCTCTCTGTTGCCAAATAAAAAAAGGAAAAACAAAACATAAAACCAAAAACTTGCTAGAATGAGTAAAAGAAAAAAAGTAAAAATAATCTTCATTGGTCAGTCTACACCTCCAGTATAAGTGCACATTCAATAATATATCCTTTGAGGTCAGTGAGAAGAAACTGATTCCACCATGGAGTTTGGGTGGAATTCTTTCATTGCTTTGCTTATGTTCTGATGTTTTAATTTTCCTTACCAAGTTATTCATATCCCTAAAACTTAATTTTTCTGAATTCAGTGGTCATTTTTATTCTGTTACTAATGGCACCTACCTCAAACTTTCTTAGGAAATTTATCATCCAAAACAAATAAACAAAAACAGGAGAAAAAGAGTCATAGAGACAACAAACCTGTGGTTGCCAGGGGCTGTGGTGTGGTGGGGAAAATGACAAAATGGGTAAAGGGCAGTGGAGGTATGGGACTCCAGTTATGGCATGGGTAAGTCAGGGGGATGAAAGCTACAGCATAGGGAATAAGGTCTATGATATTATAATAATGTTTCATGGTGATAGATAGTAGGTACATGTGTGGTGAGCTTAACATGTAGACCGCTATGTTGTATACCTGGAACTAATGTAATACTGTGTACCAACTATACTCCCAATTAAGAAAATAGTTTCACATTATCTGAAACTAAAATTATATAAAGAAAATCATGCTGATGAGAACATGGAAGGGGAATTTGTCTTCAACTTTAATACATGTCCCTATTCAAACTCTTACATTAACATATATTTCTCTAAATTTTTCTTAGTCCCTGAAGTTCAAGGAAAAAAGAAACCATTGATCACTTATGTGGGGGATTCCGTTGTCTTGGTGTGTAAATGCCAACACTGTGCTCCTTTAAATTGGACCTGGTACAGTGGTAATAGGAGTGTACAGGTAAGATCATATTTCTGTGATTTGAAGAAAACAAAATTCATTCATTTATAAATGAATTTATTTATAAATTTTATTTATAATTTTAAATTTTATTTCATAAATAATATTATTAACAGACTCAGAATTCCTAGGACTATTTGTACTTCTGTTATCTTATTATTTAGTATGTCTTCATGAAGTAAAAACCGTGGAGTTGTCCTACCTTTCATGTTTTTAGCGTCTTACATTACACATCTGAAGAGACTCTTAATGTGTTATTAACCAGTACTTTGTTTTTTAGATTTAGCAATTTATTTAAATTTTTTGAAAGGAAGTTATCATTCATTTTTAGTTGATGAGTTTAAAAATAACCCTAACAAAAACATCTTTTTTTCTTATCATTCCAAGAAAGTATCTAGAAAAAAAAGTAGGTTTATTTTCCAACTTCTGTCTCTGGAAACATTTGTGAAAGAATTTAATACAGTGATGACACTTGAGAAAAGAATGAAAATTTGGTAACTTAAACCTAGGTCTTGGGTTCTTTCAGTAAGTGTCATTGGCCTCTTTTGGCCTTCCAGAATCCAAAGGGAGGCCAAATACCTTACACTCCCACTAAAGAATTAATGGCTATTCAAAGAGCTAATAACAAGAAAAACAAGAGTATTCAGAAAATCATTCCTCACTTTCTTTCTTCCTCCCAAAGAGCTTCTAATAGCAGGGAAATTAAGGACATTGTCCTTCACGGGACACCTGTCTATTGCTCTGGTACTAATGAGCATTGAAATTAAAGTCCTGCGGCAAGCTATAAGGGACAGACAGTATGAGACTGTGTAGATCTTACAAGGAAATAGTAGGTTCCTTAGACAAAATTGATACTGCCATAGACCGTTGAAGGGACCAGAGGAAGGGACTTAAAAGGGAGAGTGACTGATTCTGTGATAACGCTGGTTTGAGTTTTCAAAGAAATCTCCAAATCACTTAGGAGCAGACCTAAATCATTAATATTTCTGCTTCACTTCTTCTTGATGATTAAGAAAGGCAATCATTTTGAGTAGGTAAATATTAACAAACATGTATGTGAATTTATAAAGATAAATATCATTTGTAGTGGCTTGAAATACATAGCCCAGTTTATTTCTTTATATGTGATACCATGCAAAAAAAACCCCTAAATCTAATTGTATTAAACTCTTACAATGTAGTCTGTGTTTCTCTCCATTTGCTGTCATAATTTGTTCTCAATTTGGCCCTAAGCTTGGGTCGTATTAGGATGTGAGGGAGGTGTAGGGCTGTGAGAACAGGTTACAATGTTAAGTCAAGTGTTTTTTTCAAAATGCAGACCAACCATCTGCCTCCGAATCACCTGGGGTGCCTGTGAAACACGCATGGCTTTGATGTATCAGCTCCGAGTTAGAGAGGGTGCATTTAAACAGGCATCACAGACTGTGGCTGGGCACAGGGAGCCAGGTGGCTTTAATTTGGTGGCGGGGAAGGCAAATAATAAACTCACAGACTGTCCTTCATCAGAAAGCCTCCAAGAATATTTGTATGCAGATCAGCATTTATTGAACAGTGCCGCTGAGTGATAGCACAGTGAAGGCATCAAATAGCCTGAGAATAAGTTTTAATTTAAACGGATTAAATAACTCAGCTCCCAAAAGCTTAGTATGGCTCTGGATAGGCTGGGGAAAGTCCAGTGAATCTCAGGAGGCAGCTTGCCTGAGAAAGAAAGAAGCTCAGATACGAGAAGACAGGTGTGCAGAAGACCACAGATCCCAGGCTCACAGTGGATTTCTACCTTTCCCGCTCCACCAGCCTCACAGGCCTGGAGATTTCATCCTCATTTCCAGTCTGAGGAACGCCCACTGTCAGGAGCCAGTGATCTTCCTTTGTAGGAATGATCACATCTAATAGCTTCATTAATTCATTAATTCTGGAGTTGATTTGATAGGTGCCTGCTCTTGTGAAGGAGGAAGTACTTTGAACAGCTAGTCGGGGATTAGATCGAGAAACCCAGAAGGCTGGAATTTTTCTATATCTTTGATTCGAATATTTACCCACGATGCTCTACAATATAGTTTCAAACATGGAGTACTTAGCACTTAAAATATCCCTTCCCTCTGCTACCTTTGGGAGGTGAAGCTTGTGGACTCTGTTATGTAAACTTCTCATAAACTTTACTATGCCTTACAGCTTTTGCTCAAAACTCGATCATTTAGAACGTGTGTCTTTTATGCAATATGATAGGAATGCATTTTGATGTTTTCTTGTATTAGGTTCCTCTTGATGTTCACATGAATGATAAGTATGTGATCAATGGAACAAACGCTAATGAAACAAGGCTCAAGATAATGCAGCTTTCAGAAGACGATAAAGGATCTTACTGGTGCCATGCAATGTTCCAGTTGGGCGAGAGCCAAGAAAGTGTTGAACTTGTTGTGATAAGTTATTTGGTGCCCCTCAAACCATTTCTTGGAATAGTTGTTGAAGTTATTCTTTTAGTGGCTATTATTCTGTTTTGTGAAATGCACACCCAAAAGAAAAAGATGCACACGGGTAAGATTTCTTTTTTTAGATAATGTTCTTATGTTATGACAATATATTATAATGGCTTTAGAATTATCTAACTTCTGTTATTTGGAGCAGTATTCATTTAACATTAATGGTGACAGTGCTGTGAGCTTATATTGACAGTCTTTCTGTTTCAACTTCCTAAGAAATTTTAGTGTGAAAATATACTTTTCCTCCTTTTGCTTTGGTGTTACTGGTACCTAAACACCAAATTGGTGATACGTGCTTCGGTACTAGAATATTAGAAGATTCCGTGATAGCTTAATGTAAAAGATGTCAAAGACAAACAGTCTTTTCCTTAGATAACTCACTTAAAAATATTTTATCAAACATTCTGGAGTTCTCATAAGAGAGACATTGTCTGGTCAGCTCTCTGTTTTTGTAGCATGTGCTTGATAGACTGCAGGTTGAGAAACGAATGGTCCTCTAAGAAAATTTATCTTACATTCTGTATTCTTTTCTGATTTTGTACAAGATTTTTAGTAACTTAAAGAATTACAGGTCAATCAGTCTGATTTTGAAAATTTCAGGCACTAGACTGTGCTCGATCAAAATTGCAGGTAAGGTCTGGAGAGCAGGGAAGGAGAACGTGATAGATGTGTGGCGTCTCACGTTGTATATCTCTCTCTCTTGTTCCAAAGAGGGAAACCACACATTGCATTCTTAACATGGGGAAAGTTGAATTCAACATACATGCTCCATAAGAATAATAAACCAATCTTAATGAATTCCTTTTTTGTTATACAGATGATGGGAAAGAATTTGAACAAGTTGAACAGTTGTAAGTATTATTTTTACAGATTAATTTTCACTTGAGTAAAATACAGATAAATATGGAATTGAATAAAAAGTTTGTGGTTAGACTAGGTATTTACTCCAAAGATACAGAAGTAGTGATTGGAAGGGGCATCTGCCCTCCAGTGTTTATAGCAGCAATAGCCAAACTACCTCTGTCCATTGACAGAGGAATGGATGAAGAAGATGTGTTATACATAGTCAATGGAACACTACTCAGCCATCAGAGAGGGTGACATCTTACCATTTACATCGCCATGGATTGAACTGGAGGGTATTATGCTGGGTGAAATAAGACAATCAGAGAAAGACAATTATCATACGGTTTCGTTCATATGTGGAATATAAGGAATAGTACAGAGGATCATGGGGAAAGGGAAGGAAAACTGAATGGAAAGAAATCAGAAATGGAGACAAACCATAAGAGACTCTTTTTTTTTTTTTTAAGAGTTTATTTATTTATTCATGAGAGACAGAGAGAGAGGCAGAGGGAGAAGCAGGCTCCCCATTGAACAGGGAGGCTGATTCAGTACTCAGTCCCAGGACCCCAGGATCATGACCTGAGCTGAAGGCAGATGCTTAACCATCTGAGCCACCCAGGCGCCCCACCATGAGAGACTCTTAACTATAGGATACAAACTGAGGGTTGCCAGAACGGGAGAGGGGTAGGAGGATGGGGTAACTGGGTGATGGGCATTAAAGAGGGCACATGATGTGATGAGCAGTGGGTGTTCTATGGAACTGATGAGTTATTGAAGTCTATATCTAAAACTAATGATGTACTATATGTTGGTTAGCTGAATTTATTTATTTATTTTAAGATTTTGCATATTTATTTGAGAAAGAGAAGACAAAGAGAGAGAGCCAAGGGGTGGCGGGTAGAGGCAGAGACCCTAGGATCATGACCTGAGCCCAAAGGCAGACACTTAACTGACTGGAGCTATCCAGGCGCCCTCGCTAATTGAATTTAAAAAAAAAAAAAAAGTTTGCAATTAGGACAAAAACACAAGAGTATATTATTTGTGTGTTATTTTTTGTACACATCCATGTTGTGGAGAGGCATGTGGAGTTTGCCTGCCTACATTAGGATCCCCCCTCTACCATTCACTTTTTTACCTCTCTGTGCTTCAATTTTGCCTGCAACAAAATGACTTTAATTATAGTATTTGCTTTATAAGGCTTTTGGGTTAAATGATATTCTCTATGTAAAAATGCTTAGCATAGGCTTTGATGCACAGGGGTGTTCAATAACCATAAGGAAGTATTATTTGTATAAGTCAGTAATTCTTAACCCTGGCTATATTTTTGGTCACTTTGGATGTTCCTTAAAAATACAGTTACTCAGAATTTACTGGATCTCCTGGATCAGAACCTCTGGGATTGGTGCCTGGACATCTGGATTTCTTTAAAATGTCTATCCCTGATTCTAAGTCTCTCTCATGTGGAAAATCACTGGTCTAGAATTTTATTAGTCACTGTTTTTGAAAGAACACATATTGTGTCCCAGGTTCACTTAACAGCTGCTTTGTTCAGAGTGGAACATGAGGAGGGCTGAGAAGAAAGTTTTCTGGGGTATAATTTAGTTTGGTGAAGATGGGAGTGACTAGTTCCTCTCCGCAGAGGATTGAGCATGGAATCCAGTGATGGAGGTCCCTGAGACTGGGATTAAAGTCTGATTAACGTAGCTGAGGATTGGACCAGGAAAAGGAGATCAGGTTAAAACAGCTGGAAGAAATGTAGGAAATGGAAGGTCTGAGCCAATATAACCAACACAGAATGGCACCTGGAGTTTATCTTCAAACGGCCAGCACAGGTTCTGAGTGTGGTCTCTAGCCATGGTCAAAGAGCAGGAGTGGGGTGGCCAGCTGTCATTTAGAGATTTGTAGACATTATTCACATAGTTATTTTTATTCAGTTCACATATGGCAGGTAAAATAAATCAACAAAATATGAGCTTCTACAGTAAGGCCATGAAATAATTATATCAGGAGTTCCGTAACCTCGGATAGGAGAAACAAAACGATGTTGTCTTGACATCAATTCTTTTTTTTTTTTTTTTTTTTTTTTTTTTTTTTTTTTTTTTTTTTAAAGATTTTTATTTATTGATTTGACAGAGAGAGATCACAAGCAGACAGAGAGGCAGGCAGAGAGAGAGAGGGAAGCAGGCTCCCTGCTGAGCAGAGAGCCTGATGCGGGACTCGATCCCAGGACCCCGAGATCATGACCTGAGCCGAAGGCAGCGGCTTAACCCACTGAGCCACCCAGGCGCCCCTTGACATCAATTCTTAAGAGTTGGAAGGAAACTGCACCTCTTTCTGGTGAACTTGGACATCCAGTTTATAGTACTTTGAATGTTTCATCTTTCTGGTTCCCAGGTACTGATTCCCATTCTTAAACGTGGAGTCATATAAAAAATAAGACAGTCATTCAGATATTTGAAACAGTTACAGCCTTGCTCAAATGCTGTTGTCCCAGCTCAGCTATCCCAATGTTTCCAGCCATTCATTCCCTTGCAGTCACATCTGGAGGCTGCTCCTGTCTCGGTGGATTCTGGTTCATCTAAGACACACTCTGAAAGGGTAGCACCAGAACCCTATGGAGTAGACTTACCAAATCTTAATTTAATTTTCATTTATGTAGCTTATCTTAATTAAAAAATATTTTTAAGGCACTTTTTTCTAGAATTCCTTAGGCGGAACGCCAAACTGATTCAATCTACAGTAGAAATGATTTACTTTCTTTTCTTTTATTGATAATTGGAATAGTGTACATAATATTCTCTACCCTGTACTCTTCCACAGACAGCACTGGCAGTGTTAAATTTTTTAGTTTATTTCTTATTTCAGTATCTTTAGATTTAATACAAGTATCAAGGGCACATGAACTCATATGCAGAAACCTTTTTACCAGTGCTCTTTTAGAATTTTTAGTTAGCAATGCACTTTTTTTTCTTTAAAGTAATCCCTATTTCCAACGTGGGGTTCTAAAATTTTTAGTTAGGAGATAAATTGTTCTTGATAGAATATATAATATAATATAGTATAGTGTAATATAATATAATAATATATAGTATATAATAGGATAGTATTATTAGTATACTTTCTATTTTATACTATATTAATAGTATAAAGGGACACCTGGGTGGCTCAGTTGGTTAAGCATCTGCCTTTGACTCAGGTCATGATCCCAGGGTCCTGGGATCAAGTCCAATATCCAGCTCCCTGCTCAGCAGGAAGTCTGCTTCTCCCTCTCCCTCTCCTGCTCCCCCTGCTTATGCTCTCTCTGTTTCTCTCGCTGACAAATAAATAAAATCTTTTAAAAATATATATAAAATAATAGTATATAATATAGTATAATAATACTGTATATAAATAAAATAGATATATATTTTTATCATTACATGTTCTATATAGTGCATATATGTTTAGATGTCAGGAAGAGTCAGAGTTCCTTGATGAAAATAAATCTTAAAAGCAGTGCTAAATGTGTAACATCAAAACAACCTCTAACTTCAGATATTTCAATGAGGAGCTCATTCGTTTATTTGATCCACTCATATATTTAATCCATATAATCTCACCTGCTGGCCTCTCCCCCAAATCTGAATTAGGTGGTTGAATTTACTTTCTGATGGTGATACCTTAATGAGCTCAGGCCTGCCCATAAAACCTAGAAGGGTATTGATTATGCACTGTTGTTACCCAGTTTAGTCATTCTTGTCTTAAGAATCTGAAGGTCACATTTGTAGTCTTGCCCTGATGTGCACTGGATAGACAACCACATTTAACCTCTAATTCATTGTAATAAACATGTCCGATCACAGCACCTGTATCTCACATGTTGGCAGAACTTCTGCTTGGCTATTATCTTGCAGGCCTCAAAACTGCTCACAAGTTGCCATATACCTAAGTCTCATTCATGCTGGGGGAGAAGCCGTTTTCCCTCTGCATAAAACAAACAGGACTGGTCACTGTCCTCTGTGGCAACAGTTCTTCTCTAAAGCAATGGTAGAAAAACAATATCAACATTATGAGTAAAACATTTTTAGGAAAAATGAATTATCTCTATTGACTTTTATGTTTTAACCTGATGGCCACGATATAGATGATGTTTTCACTTGATTTAGTGCAATGTAAATATTTCATGATTTTCTTTTTGTTTTCTGTACAGGAAATCAGATGATAGCAATGGCATAGAAAATAATGCCCCTAGGCACAGAAAAAATGTAAGTTACTTCCAAATGATATTCTTTTTTTTTTTAAGATTTTATTTATTTATTTGAAAGACAGAGATCACAAGAAGGCAGAAAGGCAGGCAGAGAGAGAGGAAGGGAAGCATCCCTGCTGAGCAAAGAGCCCGATGTGGGGCTTGATCCCAGGACCCTGGGATCACGACCCGAGCCAAAGGCAGAGGCTTTAACCCACTGAGCCACCCAGGCACCCCTCTGAATGATATTCTAAATAAAAGGTAAAATTCCCTATACATAGACTATTATCCAGCTACATTTTTTGGTTTCATATGAGACCTAATCATTCACTATGGGTTTGAATATAGTTGTTTAGAATATTATAGGAGAAAATATATAGTTATACAAACATAAATGACACCTTTTTTCTATCAGAGAACATGTAGCAACCAATCTAAAAATATATCTTTTGTACCACCTATATATATGTATATATATTTGTCACCATGGGCTAGTTCCTTCTATTTTTCATAGTTTTTTTTTCCCCTCTCTTAGGTTTTCTGGATTCTCCTTTCTTTAAATTCTCATATACTCCCATATATTTGGGATTATGAACAAATCCACAGTAGCTTATTTCCTTTACTGATTAGAATAAAAATATTCAGAGTTGATCAACATTTTCCCCCCAAGTATTTAGAAAACAGATACTGTTAGTTTCAGCAGTGATTTGGATCACTCCTTCCTAGCACTTTTTGCTTTGCTAAAGTGATGAAAGTTATAGAATAATCAGGACATACTAATTATGTTTCCTTATGCTTTATTTAACTCAGGAAGCTATGAGCCAGTGAAAGCAAAACATCGTGTCAAGAGTAATGGGAAGATGTATAGTTTCTACTTCAGCTTTGTTTATGTTTCCTGTGAAGAATATCTGAGTTTTTATTTTTACAAGGATGAAAAGTTTATGCAATATGCTCAGCAGTAGTTTTGCAATAATACATGCTATCTCAGATCCAAAGATATATTTTCCTTCTGTGATTATTTAACATTAAAGCAAGGTAAATCGTATTAAATATGTTCTATGAGCTATAACCCAGGATAACTAATTTCATCTTGGTCATCAAGGGATGCACAGAGGAGATACCAGCAAAACCAGTTAGTACTACATAAACTAATGTCATTCAAGACCTGTGTATAACCAAAGAATTCATTAAAGAGAAAACTTTTACCATTTGCCTTAAGTTTTTTTTTCCAATTATGCTTACTATGGATAGAAATATTTGTAATAATTTTCATGTAATGTTCACCCTCTGTCATATTGGATAAAAACATTTTTATTAGGAAATGAATACGTTCTGCCTTTGCTAATGATTTGCAATCTGCAGAAGAAAAACATACATTTCCTCCACAAATACTGGTTTAAGGCAAGGAAATATAACCATATACTTGCCCCAAATCACCTATCATACAAAAATATGTTTCCCAATCTTTGTTCTACTCATTTCCATTACTTATACACACTAGGGAAAAGTGACTTTTAGCCTTTATGTAGAGCATTTTTTAAACGCCATGGGTTTCAGATTTCTTAAGTTCCACGAGGCATTAACGCTGTGGGTACAGGTCGCTGTAGTCATAATATTGCCCTGCTACAGGGATGCCTCTGTGGTTCATGGTTTCCTGGTATCTTTGACTGGTATCTGGTGTCCTGATACCCATGGATGGCTAAAAACCTAAAAATGCATTATTAGTGCTTTATAGTCATGATTTCTTTGTTCGAAATCCAGAAGTACTGAATAATTCTTCTACGTTATTGCAAATGCCCTAAACTTGTCTTCAAAATTAGGATAGTTTCTATTGCATATATAACTGAAATATTTTACAAAATCCCCATAACCAAATCAAATGAAATATGAATAGACATGAAACACTGTCAGTGGCTTTGCGTGGACTATGAAAATCATACTAGATTGGGTTGAAGACAATGATGTGAAGCCTGCTGGATGTCCTTAGTGCTGGTGGGTCCTATCCCACAGAGATCAGAACAATCAGAAGCCAAAGAGGAAGAATTTGGGATGGTGGCAAAGAGCCCACAATTTTTGGTGGAGTTCAACATTTGAGAACAGGCGTTCAATAATTTGGGGAAAAAATAGCTTCTAGAAATGTTCACTATGTACTGGCTGAGAAAATAATAAAATTGTGGTGTGAAAATTATAATTTATATGGCATCTTAACTAATGTTAAAAAATCTTACTATTAGGAATAATACACATAAAGTGGTGACTTGGAATCTGCCCATTATTTTGTTGCAGCACTGTTCTGTGTAAAGCGTGTTAACTTTATCTGCACATTTTATTGAACTAGAATATATCCCTGAAGTAATGACAGATTTCATTTTATTCTTAGTCTTACAGCCATGAGCCATGCATTGTTTTGGTTTAATACATTATTTTTTTTTAAAGATTTTATTCATTTATTTGAAACAGAGAGAGAGAGATCACAAGTATGCAGAGAGGCAGGCATAGAGAGAGAGAGGAGAAAGCAGGCTCCCCGCTGAGCAGAGAGCCCAATGCGGGCCTCGATCCCAGGACCCTGAGATCATGACCTGAGCCGAAGGCAGAGGCTTTAACCCACTGAGCCACCCAGGCGCCCAAAACATTATTTTTTTAATGATTTTATTTATTCATTTGAGAGAGAGAGAGAGAGCATGAGCAGGGGGAGGGGCAGATGGAGAAGCAGACTCCCTGCTGAGCAGGGAATCTGATGCTGGACTCAATCCGAGGACCCCAGGATCATGACCTGAGCCCAAAGCAGATGCTTAGCCAACGAAGCCACCTAGGAGCTCGGTTTAATTCCTTATTTGATAACATCCTCTTGGATGGTATCTATATGATGGCAGATACCCAATCAGTTTATTTAATTAATATAAACAATTTGAATTAAGTGAAAAATTAGTCAGAACTATTATTTGACTAAGTTCAATTCAAGATGGTGTATTTATGATTGCATTTTTTAAAACCAAAAACAATTTGTATCTCATATGCAGTATGATTCTGTCCATTTTGCCATACTATTTAGGCTAAGATATTTTTCAAGCAAGAGGAATTGCTGCCCCATGGTAAAAATAATCTGAAATAGTTGTATAGTAAATTGAATTTTTAAGTGTCAATGCTTGCTGTTTTTCCTAGGAAAGGCTATTCATTTCAGTAAGTTTAAGCAGAAGAAGTACTCAAAATTAAAGTTGAGTTTTGGCTTTTTAGATTTTCTTTGGAAGAACTGGAAAATTATTTCAGACTCTTAGATTAAAAACGTAATGCTTCTGTTAACTAACCTCATGTGGAAGATAAATGGATTAAGTCATAATAACCTATTGTAAATTGGCTGAAAAACCTAAGTGAGCAGAAAAGCTGAACTAGGAAATCTGTCCCACGTTTATATATTAGATACTCTGGGAAATTCTATTCATCTTTCCAGCCACCAGGATCTTGCAGAATAAGTAGACTTAATGATGTTTTAAAATTCTCAGATACTTTCATATTCAGTTTATGCTTTAGTGTAAATCTTCTCCAATTATATCTTTCTCTTTTTCCTCAGCGATCTGGTCAATCAGGTCAAAACCCAGAATTTATTACGGTATTTTCTTCCCCTCTGTTAACTGAGACTCATTAGTTCTGAATCTTTGCTTCTTTGACCTTCTCATTGCCTATCAATCCACCCACTGCCTTCCCCATCCCACACTCACAGCAGCAACAGCAACAGTCTTGATTTTCCTACCTCTGTCTCATCTTCCTATGAATCCATTTTTTGTATAGCTGCCCGAGTTATCTTTTTAAATACAAATCTTGCTTTGCTAACTTAATATGAAAGCCTCCAGGCCAAGCCTCTGCAGGCTTACCTTTGCCATTTCCTAATACTGCAGTTTTCCAAAAGGCTGACGTCTCTCCGGTGTCTTGACTTTAGTCTTGACATGCAGAGATTCTGTGCAGAATGCTACACTCGCGTGCCCCTCCCATTGACTAACCTGAGTTTAGTTTTCACTACTTTAATCTGACGTTACTTCTTGGTGGATCTTTTCATACCCAGTGGGGTGTACACCGTGTGATTTGCTCAAATAATTCCACATTTCTTTGTGTTTATTACCCTGTATTATAAATAGACATTTGTCTCTTTCCTATGTTGGGTACTTACCACAGAGAGGATACGCTACAGATGTCATGAAATGTGTTTTGAATAGAGAAATGTGTAAGTAAAAATCAAATTTCATTAATTTAGAACAATCTAAATTGTGACATCAGAATTAAAATAACGGGGTGCGTGGGTGTCTGAATCGGTTGAGCGACAGACTTGGTTTTGGCTCAGGTCACGATCTCAGGGTGGTGAGATCAAGCCCTGTGTCGGGCTCTGCTCTCAGCATGGAGTCTGCTTCGGATTCTCTTTTCCTTCTCCCTCCTGTGCTGTCTGTCTCCCTCTCTCTCTCTAATAATAAATAAATCTTTAAAAAATTTTTTAAAGAATTAAAATATAATATATTAACAGAGATAAACAAGGTTTTATGAGTCAATGTTTGCTTCTATTACTTTGAAAAGTACATAGTAATAGGATAAAATATCCCATCAGATTTTAATAATATGTTAGTATCCGGTGAGCAAATAAGTTCTGATTCCTAATTTGTTATACAGGGTATACCCCTTTCAACTTATTTAAATTCCTATTGTTCTCTATTTTTCATGGTTAGTTCAAATCTTTACCTTATATATATCCTTTATTTTAATAGTATAATCTACTGACTTTAAATATAAAGAGCTTTAGAATTGAAGCCCTTTGCATGGTACTATAGAGTACTGATATTTGTGTCCTCTCCACTAATTTCTCATTCCTCTTCCCTTAAGCAATACCTTATAGTATCTTATTAGAGTATCTCAGGATCCAACTCAGAACTTTATCTTAAAAAGAAACGTTTTTTTAAAGAAAGCTTTCATTGTTCTGTTTTGATCACTGAAAGTTTATCTTTAATCAAATTCATCAAAAGGAAAAAAAGTGTCTGTTCTGCTCACTTATTCCCTAGGTCTTCATCTCCGAGGCATTTAAAATAGACTTACACAAAATGGTTTACTGAATACCTACTATACTACCTTATAGAAAATGAATTTTTCTAATTGAAAAAGGCTATGCAGTGAATTAGGGACTTACTCCTTATTACCATTGTTCATCTCCAGGTGGGAGTTAAGTTCAAGTACGTGTTCCAGCATTAATTAAGAGGCACAGTGACCTACTTAGAGCATGCTCTGAATTAATATTTACTAGATGAATGAAAAATAGATGAATGACTCAATTATTATGGAATCTTAAATTATACATATTTACATAATATCTACTTTGATTCTCATTAACTGTGACTATATGCTTATCTAGAGAAAAAGAAAACTAGAACTGCCTGTTTTCAATTCTATGATATTTAAGAATGTATTTGCACTGAATCTAGAAGGTCAGTTACGTGCTGAATTGAGTTCTTCATTGAGAATATATATTATTACATAATGGGGCTCCTGGGTGGCTCAGTGGGTTAAAGCCTCTGCCTTTGGCTCGGGTGGTGATCCCAGGGTCCTGGGATCGAGCCCCGTGTCGGGCTCTCTGCTTGGCAGGGAGCCTGCTTCCCTTCCTCTCTCTCTGTCTGCCTCTCTGCCCGCTTGTGATCTCTGTTTGTCAAATAAATAAATAAAATCTCTAAAAAAACAATAATAATAACTGACATGGTCGAGTGCTTAGCATGTGACAGGCACTGTGCTAAATGCTTTGGCATGTATCACCTCCTCGAATCCCCACATCACATCATCTTATGCTACAGGAACTATTATCATCCGCTGTATTAGAGAAGAGAAAAGCGAAGCTTAGAGAGATGACTTCTCAGGAGTCTAGGTTTAACAGCCGTATTGAACAGCTTAAGCTTCTACTTACCTGCATCTTAGAAAATGAGACTACTATCCATATCAAGCATGTTTTTAAAAATAAACTTACTCTTTTAAATGGTCAGTTAAATAAGATCCAAGTCCTATCCTTAGGGCTTGTATGACCTATGCTATGGCGTACTCGTGTCCCTGCAATGGTGCTGGGGAATCGTGATACTTTTTTTCATGTGGAGAGTCTTTCTTTCTTTCTTCGAGTCCCCCCTGCCCCACCACCATTTCACTTCTCAATGGCTAATGGGACTATTAAACTTCATCATCCAAACACTGAGAA